CCTTAGATGCCGCGGATAGTTAATATAATAAAAAAAATAAATTAGACATCCATATTTAAGTATTATGGATTTCTTAACTATAGTATATATAAATACATATTTTATATTACTTTTAATGTATAATTACCAAACTTTTAGTTCAAATAGTTTTAAACACCCAAAATGAGCAAAATAAATATTAGATGATACATAAATGTATTATTATAGGTGAGTGTAAGCGTATATAAATAAATGACCTAATTTTTTTTTCAAAAAAGCTATTATACTTAAATGACTCTTTGTTAATTTAGTTATACCTATTGGTCTAAAAATTCCGGTGATGAATAATAAGTACATGTAATTTTTTTATGCCTATATTCAAGAACAAATTTGACGAACTAAACGATCAATGTACAGAGCACAAAATTGTATCATACAATTTTCGAAATCTTATGAGATGAAATAACAACTTTTAGAGTACATTTTTTTATTCAGAGTTTTGTGAAGTTTTTCTGATGAGATTAAACAGTAAAAATAAAAATAATATACTAAATTTCTGTTAACTAAAAAATATTAAAAATTATGTGAGGTAAATTAAAACAAAAAGTTGAAATTTTAATAATTTCAGAAGAATAAACTATTATAAAACAGCTATCATCTGTTTTTTAAAAAATTACATAATAAATGGATATTTTATAATAATTCTCATCAAAATTTAAAAATGTATTTACTATTAATTTTAGTATTTGTCCCTGCAAGTCGAATAGAAAAATATAATTTTATCATTTTCACTCTCTCAGCACGTGTCTCATTAGATAATCTTCGTGAAAGACCCTGCTGTATTATGTGCATTTACACGTGTCACGTATTATATGTTGATGGTGTAGTGGCTACGCTATCACTTCGGTAGTTAGGTGCATTATACTAGTATTGTACTTTTACACGTATATATCTAGAATATTTTTTTTTTTAATACCGTCACTTAACGCGGTTAAATCCGGTGAGCATTACAATATCGAGTTCTCGCGATAGGCTATAGGCGTAGACGAGTTTATACATACATATAAGTACGAACAACATTTATATACACATGAGTCATATTGGGTAATCGATTCACGCCGTGTGTGTATAAGGTCACCGATTACCGTCGCCAAATTTTCTTTTTCTTCTACTGATTATCACCCGTCACCGCCCGACTATTGTGTGGAATTGGTTAATTATATCGTCTTGGCCGCCACGCGGATTTTAGGCGTGCACATTTTGTATTCGATTATTTTATCATTGTAACGGCCTAATATATATATATAACGCCTAATATATACATAAAAATACATATATACATGTACATTGTACATAATTTGTGGACATATAATTATTATATAAAAATACTTATACACTTGTCGACTGGAAGAGACCTTGTTCTACAAAATGGAAAACACACAATATTATAATATACGTATACTTAGTGTACCTTTATATGACGTATAAAAGAAAATCTTGTTGTACACTCGCCGTGCGCCTGATGCAATACGCGTAGCGATAAATTATATTAAATTCAGAAATGCGGCTTGCGAAGGTACCTACGTCGTCGAATTCTGTTTTCTGCTACAAAAAAGAGACTCGTTGTACCGTGGGCGTCCTGACAGTGTGTCTATGAAAGCATGTGCTACAGTTCAGTCAAGGGATTGCACAGCTGCACAGGGATAGATTATATGGATAATCGATTATATTATATCGCTACATCCCCCCGTGAACGGTGTATTCACTTCGACTGTAAGGCGTTCGGTGCCATAAACTTGACGTCAATAAATTACATATTATTTTTATGTGTACGCGAAATCGTCTTGGCCCGCATGCAAGAGACACGCGCGCCAGCATTACGTACACGCAACGGTCAGTACATTACTATCGATTCGCTTAATCTGCACATGATCATCAATCAAAACAGACGTAGGTCTAACCTGTCTGTATAGATGTGTATGAGTCGTTTAACAAATCGTAAAACGCGCACAAACATCGTAAAGTCGCCGTTAGCCCGGGTTTTTTTTCTCTTTCGTCTTAACGTCTTTAAGTATTCGACGTGGGCATGCACTAATAGTGCATTGATTTACCTATAGTTCATCAAGTATTAATATTGTGTTGGTAGTCAAGTGGCCATTGGTTTTCTTTTTATCAGCTTTAGGTAAGTAAGGTTACAAAGGTTGCAGAGAAGGTTTTCCCTGTATTGTGGCTACCACTTGCCGTCTGCTGTACGCTACGACTAGGTGCAGAAACAAAGTACCTATAAGTATATGGTTTTTTTCATTAGTACCCTAAAAAAATATAATATGTTATCTTATTTGAAGCAATATTATGTGCATGTTCCTCGTTAACCCATAACCGTTAAAAACTTTTATGTCCGACAAGATTGGTAGACCTACATGATTCAATAACAATATTTCTTTAATTATTTGATGAAATAACTGAAAGTTTATCAGGAATTTGTACATGGCCTGGTAAGAATTCTTCATCAAGAAAAAACATATAACTGTTTGCTATAAGACAACTAGAATATACTCTAGCATCTTATATACTGGGACACGTGTTGAGAATTAGTTTACCATTAAGTTTCTTCGGACAAAGAATATAGATATGATTGATGCTATTCAAACCACTGACGATGTGTCAAAAATAACTAAATTATTTACTTTAAATGATAAAAGTGAATTTAAAATTTAATTTGATTATGCAAAATTTAAATATGATGACTTAACCATATATGTATATATATATTCTTCGAACAGATTACAAGCCAAAAACAAATGCAATATACAGATTAATTTGCCTGAGGATTATTATTGAATATCTTTATTTAATCCATTTGTAAATCATTTTTAAATTAATCAAATGAACAATCTTGATGTCTCAGGTCTATCATTAAAAATTTTAATTATATTTTACCATCATCCAATTATATACTTGACGAAGAAAAAATTAAGTATTTAGTTAAAATGTATCAAGATGATTTAGCTTACAGAGGAGTGTTAGTAACTATGTATGAGTTTAAAATGTGGCAAAAAAAATGTGCAGGAACTTAAGATTTACTAAAAAACCTAATTTGATACCCTAACCTAATGACACTCTTCATAGATGTAATATATAAAATTTCCCTCGTACTTTCAAAATTTTACAGATTTTATCAACCCTACCAGTTATAACTGCTAACAGTAAATGATCTTCTTCAAAATTAAATATTATAAAAATCCGATAAAATAATGGTGGTGTAAATTGTTTCTACCTCCTTTCGGTCCTCGGACTGGATAATGGTAATGGGTGAATTCAGTTTTAAAGAAATTATAATTCATTTCTTTAGTAAAATGACTTTAAAAAAAATAAGAAAATTTCAGTGTTTTATATTTATACCAAAAGTGGTTAATTTTTTTTAAAAATATTTCCATTAATTAAAAAATGCTTCAAGTTTCTAATCATATTAATTTTGTGATTATGACTAAATAACTAAAATATAAAATATAAAAGCCTCATTTACAGCGCATATTTAACATTTTTACTTTATTTTTCGACAGTTTTTCCTCACGCCAAGAAAAACTATTAAAATTTTAGGAAAATTACGTCTTTAAAGTATCATTTCAATCCAATATTAAACCTAAAAATTTGCTGGATGAAACTTTTGAACCCGTATTAATATCCGAAAAAGTGGTTACAGAAAAAGAAACATCATTGTAAAACCATAAGATAACCATAAGATCCTTTGCGCTACTAAGAATCTAAAATACATTTGTGAAACACCACGTGTGAAAGTAGATTGAATGGTTTAGATATGATGAATATACTCAGTGATATACCGACTTGGGTAGTACACTATATTCGGAATACTATATTCAGAATACTTTTTAAGTATTTCGAATACTTTTTAAATAGTTTTTTTGAAAATATTCAATAAAGTATTTTGAATACTTATAATGAGTATTCTGAATACTGTATTTCGAATACCGTCAAATCATCTCTTTTTTTAATGATTTTATTACTTCTCCGTCGTATCTTGTATAATCTAATTTCAGGTATTTATTATTATTGTAAATCATAAACTAAAATAGTTATGTAATATACAAATACAATAAAATAATATATATTTAGTCTACAATTTCAAATATTTCTGTTGAGTGGACATCTATTATTTTTATAGTATGAAAACTAGAAGTATTTTAAAAGTATTCGGAATACTTTTTAAGTATTCTAAATAATGTATTTGAAATACAATTTATATAAAGTATTTGAATACATATTCGGAATACTATTTTTTGTAAGTATTCGAGTATTTATTCTAAATACTTTTAAAAAGTATTTTACCCAAGTCTGGTGACTTGGTCATGTCATGTCACAAGTCTGGTCACCCTAATGGTGTCTTAAATGAGAAGCCAAAACAAGAAAACTATGATTTATGTAATGTATAAAGTTATTAAGTTATTAAGATTTTTTTTGATAATTAAATATTTTAAATTAAGTATAAAAAAATTAAAAATATGTTTATGTGTACCTACTGTATAGATCTAAACTCCCCTAATGAAAAAACGCGGTTACATCACTGCCGGTAGTTTAACACTGCAGATGACAAAAATGAAAAACTTTTATGTTTGCTCGAAACCCATAGATGTATTAAAATTTATAGCAGTCGAATCGGGCATTCTATTAATATTCCATTATATTATGTTCTATTCTTATGCAGTATAACTGTCCACTTAACCACTAGATGCCTATTACGACCTGAGCAAATTATAAATATTTGTCCATTTTAATAATATCTGAAACTATATTAGTTTCCTTATTACTAATTATTTATTATCGCACTGATTGAAATATATAACATTAAATATTTATGGGGTATAAAATTACATAACAATTTAATTCTTTGACTATTTGCTATTTAGTGCTCGTATAATGCCCGATTTGACCATATGCCTGCAACTTGTATACAAAAATAGATAAGTCATTTTATTATGCTATAAATTTTTCTTTTTTTCCAGACATTAACGCTTTGGCTCGAAAAATATACCACAAAAATGGTACTGCGGTACCCATTGACATCTACGTTAGCTATACGAACAACCCATGGGGACCGTCAGCCGTGTTGGACAACGGCCAATCTAGCAGTGGTAAAGAACAATATAGGTGAGGGAATAGCGTTTTTAATGTAATTATTAGGGCGCGGATTTTTATGTAATTACATATATTTATTTAATGTGAATTTCTCAATTCTAATTAAAAATAAGCACGTTTCATAACACCCTGAATAATACGAAACCTTTTTTTATTTTACATATTTTCACATATTTTGATGTAAATACATATTTTATAAATATTTCACATTTTCATACCATTTCAATACAGTTTTTATTTAATTTACAATTATTATATTGGAATTAAACGAAAGAAGATATTTCAAACCTTGATTCAGATACTACAATTGCTATTACTTCTGATATTATGTAAATTAATAACTTGCAAAATAATTTAGCATATATTTCCAAAAAAATTTTTTTTTAGTTAAAATAATAAACTATTAGTAACATTGAATCTAACAATAATTGAAAATCTCGCGATAGTGGAAAATGCAGAAATTCAATAAAATTAAGTTCAAGGAGAACCCGGACTTATAATAAAAATTAATTAAACTACGTACTGGGTAATACGTTGGTTTACAAAAAAATTAAAATTATTAGATATAATATTATTTATATAAATGAGAATATGTCAAATTATGTTATGTGGTATAAAATATGCTCCATTAACCTCGGTTGACGTTGAATGCAGCCTCAGCCGCTACGAGTTGATTTTGAAATCTAACTGCCGTACATTAAAATTTTAAAACCTTTAAATGTACGTCTTATCCAATTGTTCCAAAGGAGACAACAATGAAGATTGTTAAATGAATAATTATTAATTAATAATTAAAAATTAATGGAAAATACCGATTTTTTTTGTTAAATATTTTACGTTTTTTAATATTTTAGCAAAAATAAGAACATAAATATTTACATATTTTAACTTTTCTATTACATAAAAATCCGCGCCCTAGTAATTATATATGGAAGCTACCATGTTTTTCTTGTAATTACACTGCAGACGCATATCGCATATTATATCATAATATCGATGCGTTATGATTTCGAATAAAAATAAAATCGGAATTACGTAATACCGTGTGGGTTAAATTGTTTATTTTTCTCAGTTTCATAACATAGCATATTATGACATTTTATAATCTTTAATGTATTATATTGATGAATACTGTTTAATAATTCAAATAACATTTATCTTGTTTAATGATTGAAAGTGTATAACTTGAACATAATAAATACCACATTGAATGCTTATAATATTGATATTTGTATGGGATATTTTACCATAAGGCATTTTTCAGAATCACTGAACTAGTTTGATTTTAATGAGAGAACATGATATTTTAAACGTATACCTATTTATAAATTATCATAAAATGAAAATCACAAAATTACGAAAATATATTTCCTAGTGACAAAAGATTTCTGAAACATCACTACATCATCCCACGCCTAATACCTAATAACATTTTAAGACTGTAGGTAATATCTAGCGCAAATGTATTCTGATTCCTTTAATTATCCTTACATTTTAGATTTTACGATTTAAATTAAACATTCAGTGACATTCATTGTACCATATCAAGTCATCAAATATTTATTCTCCGTTATGATGTACAGTAGAGCCATAGAGAACAAATCATATGTAAGTCATAGTATATGATATGATGAAGTAATAATATAAATTAAAAAAATAAAAATAAAATCATAATAACATAATTTCAAAACTTATTTCGTTTAAGTTATTATGACGATAATCAACTAAACTACCTGTATATAAAATGCACGATTGAAAATATTTCAAATACGTATAATGAATATATTATATACTATTGACTGCACGTCATAGAAATTGTATCTGAATTTTTACCACACGAATAATTTTCTTCGTCCCACAACAATAATACAGTTAAATGAACACCTGCAGCTTTTGAGTTTAGGTTTCATGTTTTTTTAAAAGCAATATTCTTCAAGCAATAGAATAAAAATTGATTTTTGTACAATAATTTTTAAAATATAAACATCAAATTAACAAAGAAAAAAATGTATAGGTTAAATTTAAAACAATTACTAAAGTGTCAACAATTCGAAAGTGATCGGTTTTAATGATTATTTTCTAAAACGTTAAAATGTGTTTATAATAATAATTTGTGTTTGATAGTAATGTTTGTATGTGTTTTCATTGTTTTAGGCCCAAAAGAAGTGTATATCAGCTTTACAATATGGTTGTGTGTGCAACCGGTTGCAATCCACTCTCTTACCTCGGTTATGGTTGTTATTGCGGTTTTCTGGGTTCTGGATCTCCAGTAGATCCCATAGACAAGTTAAACACAACAATTTTACTGTCATTAGTATCAAATTGCAAAAATTCAAACGGATTTTCCAAATTTTTTTCTGATATATTTTTAGCTGCTGCAAAATGCACGACTGGTGCTACGACAGTGCGGACTGCCCTATGTTCCTCGAATACTTTACTCCATATGTCTGGACATGTTACAATAAAAAACCATTGTGCTGTAAGTAATAAGAATTTAAAACAATAGCAATTGGTCATAGATTTATTCAACACAATAAAATTTAGAAAATATAATATGAGATACATCAAAAATAGTATAAATATGCCCATAGCATTCTCAATGGTTGTAATTACTCTATCCGCACAATAAGATCTGACATTTTAATTCAAATTAATATTTTGATCTTTCTTTCAAACAAGCTTAGACTTTATTCAATGCTAATCAAGGTGTGAGAGAATTTTCAATTTTCTTTAAACGTTACATAAATAATAACGAATAATACATTAAATAATTTGAATTATATTACATACATGTATGTATAAAATATAATATAATTACCCGTAAAAAATTCCATCAAATTTGTTTTTGTACCTCCTGATATCCAGACCAATAGTGACATAAGGTTTTTCATAACATTTTATTCGATCACATAGCTTGGATTAAAATCATAATTTTTTTACATCAAAATGTGGTATTTAATCTGGGATTCGTAGATAGTGGATTTATATCCGTGATTTTAAATACAAGCCACTGACCTGCGCAACTATTTTGTTTACGACAGCAAAATTAAAACAGTTCTCAGACTACATTTATTATGGCGCAAATTCTGAAACTATAATGTGGTATTGCTTATTATAAGGTGTACACACAAAAAAAAAAACCGAAAGCCCGTTTGGAGAAATTACATAGTACTTTATATGATAATAATTGCGTTGCACTAACTATCTCAAGGAAAACGTTATATACCATGTGAACCAGTGTATGAATAATAATATAATATTTTATCTTTGAGGAACGGTTTTCACGAGTACTATAACAATCATACAAACAATTATATTTCGAAAGATTAATAAAATATCAACAAAATAATAAAAACGTAAAAGTATCTTGTATTAAATATATAAACGCGTTCATAGACATTCATTTACTTTGCTTAAATATTACTGCTCGTATTGAGATTTTAAAACGATTATAAAAATTAATGTACCTAATTCATTATTTTGAGGGATTTTAGTTTCACCAGTAGAGTATTGGTTATACGTAGAAATTATGTTACGAAATTCAAAAGACCATAGTTTTTGACTGGTTTTATCTTCTTATAAGATATACTGGAAATGGGAACCTTAATATTTAATTATTATAAATGATATTTCGCTGTATTTTGTTTTATTTATCCGTACAGAAACTGATTTCGTTAAAAGCGATGTACCATATACATTCTATATTTAAAATATACTGTCATATTAAACTTTTATTTAAATTTCTAGTGTTTAAATATAGATTTATTAAATAAAAAATCCAGTTACATTTTATATTATATATGATTTGAAAAATATATAAAACAATTAAAATTTATAGAATTGTCTGTAAAAAATACTTAAACTTTAGTTAATACACAGTACAAATGTACTTTTATTTATATTTTAAATATCGCTATGTATTGGTATAGTTTCAAATATTTCAATTATTAAACATACATTTTTCAAGTAAATTTATGTTTTTATTTTGCTAATTTGAAGTAGTCATCACAATACGTTATTTTAAAAATATATTGTAACATAATTCTGTTTTTGCTTTATCAAAAACTAATTTTTAGTTTCATATTAAAAAATATAATAGTTTCCTAATAAATTCGATTCATAAAAAATGTATATTCGATTGAAATTATTATTGAAAAAGTTATTTGTTATTATTTATCATTTATATGAACAAAATAGTGAACCAAAACGTTCATGGTACCCCCTTACTAAGTTATATTCATTTTTCACTTTTAAATTAAAATACTGAATTAACGATTTCAAATCAAAATAAAATATTTTTTCATTAACACAACAAAATGATTGTTAAGTTTTCAAATAAATTACTCTAGAAAAATAAACAATAATAATCATATAGTGTACAATATAATTTCTGCGTGTTTTTAGTAACAATGAGGTTATAATAGTTTTAAACAAATAGATGGATGCGGTTTAATGATTTCAAAATAAAATGGAACAAATCTTATTTGTGAGGTTAATATTAAGTTGTTACATATCTACAGTAGAAACACAATGTTTACTTTTTGTTTCATTTTTTGTTTTATATTTTTTTATTTACTGTATTTATTGGTATCGGACGTTCTAAAATTATTATTGTCGTTTTTGAGTAAATATTAATATCTACACAAACAGGACACAAATCATGAGTTTCTAAATTAGACTAAATATTTTCAAGTAAAATTTAAGAAATTATTTGAAACACGTTGTAATTATAATTACCTATAGGTTTGAAAAAGTTAAAAAAATAAAACGTGTGACATGTAAATTATTCAATTCTTCTATTACGTACTAGAAAATTAATCACTATATCAACGTATAAAATGAAACATATTAGTACAAATAAAATTATTTAATTAAATATACAGATAGTTTTCAGAATTGTTTGTAATATAAACCTTACATCGTTTTTATGAGGTAGCGATGGGAGGAGGATGCAGCCAGCGGTTGTGCGAGTGCGATCAACAGCTGGCCATGTGCTTAAAGCGTTTTGGATGTCCGACGCAGAAAGCACTGTGCAAGACGAGTCCGTGGAGATGGTTTCAAAACGTGTTGTTTTGAAATGCAAACATAGCCGGTGACTATACCGATTAATTAAATAGCATACAGTGTGACTACGGTATATGTAGTGGATTAACAGCACGTGTCGCCTGTGCACCTGTTTTTGGTAGACCTCCTTATATAAATTAACTATTTAATCACGGGTTTGCAATGTTTCGGTTACACCACCTGAATATTCGTGCATTGAAGACGTGTGCTGGACACTTGGAGCTGTGGCTCTAAAACTTGTGTACTTACGTTGATCGTAACAGGTACCTAGCGCATATTGAAATGAACAGTTATCGTGAACTCAAACTGTTAAGGTGGCTGGTACACAAGTAATTGCAAGTTTGTCAATCGTGCAGATATAATATTTTTGTACAAGTATGCATGTACGTTCGTATGGTAATTGTGCGCAAGATTGTGATTGTCCAAGCGGAACGAAGATAGGCTGTATTTTCTTTCGCATGTTTGTACAAGTCACGCCGGTAAATGTGTGTTCGTACGTCAGTGTGTATAAATTCAAATCGCAATCGGTAAACAATAAACTGTTAAGACGTGATAACGTTTTGTTTGTGGAGAATTTGTAGCATTTCTTTTGTTAACGATGTGCTTAGGACGTACGAAAAGAATGTTGAGAATGACTTGAAGATATCATTCGTGCTTACCGATCACAACCATGTCTCTGGCGGATTAAATCTAAAGAATACCGCGATAAGCCGAAAAAAGAAGCAATATGATGACTGTATGAATTAATTGAACCGTGATGCGGTTGTAAAAAAAAAATAACAATAAAAAATAATAGGTTCAGACTTCTTGACATCAAATACAGAGCATATTTTAATTGTCCCCTTGTGATAATTGAATGTTACTCAGTGGTGAATGATAATGCCATTGACCATGCTCCGCTGGTAGACAGTTTTACTGAAGTTGTTTGGAACACAAACCGAACTTGCTTTTCACGCGTGATTATGCCGTGTGAGGCTACAAAGAGAAAATTATGGATGATTGACGAGCTTGCAGTTACGTGTGTAGCCATCTTTCAGCAGTACTCGCGATCATCGTCCACCGAACAGATATCTTTTCCACGTCATAGCGCTACAACCGCTCTACACTTTCGGGAAGCGAATTTCGTGTTCTCGCCGTAAACATCGAAATGCCTTGGAACACTCGATTCCAATAGGCTACCGTTAAAACATTAGTAGCTCAATGGTCTTCACCGAGTGCGTTCGTGGTTCACTCAGTCCCGGGAAGAGTAGGTGCAGTTGGCCGGGCATTACCCTCGAACCAGGACCGGCTTTAGATACGATCAACGCGTGCGACGGTATAGGTCGCCAGAATCAGAAGGGCGCGAGAGAGGCGTCAAAATTAGAATTGAATTTGATCAATCGTTGGGAACGCAAATTATCTACTATTGATAGAAAAAAAATGTCACGATGCGATACAATATAAATTTGATTATTATTACAATTATCATTATTTATTATTCGATCGACATGCAAGGATTGGCCGCATCTGTATGTACAATTACAGGTTCATAAACTCATTAATTATTACAAGTATTACTATGTTTGTTCTCCGAATGATTTACAAATACGTGGCAAATATGCACGTTTGAAAAATTATTTTGAACATTCATGATTACTAACAAGGCTCAAATTATAATATGTATATCCAGGGCCGGATTTAGAGAGGAGCCCACGGGGCCTCAATAAGATTCAATTAATAAGAGGCCCCCACAAAACTATTAACTTTTTTTTTTAATTTTTCTAGTAATTTGCAAAAGAATATTCTATTTTTTTAAGTTTGACAAGTGGCGCTATTAGTGTGTGATTAAACGAATCGCTAGATTGGGATTGGTAATTTTCTATTATAAATATAATTACTCAACCACAGTGTTGAGTGATGGGTCGTTAATCATAATAGTTGTTTGAACTTCGAAAATAGGATTAACAGGATTAGCAAAATTGATGTGATAAGAAATGAATAGCATGACGAGGGAACAACCCATCAGTAATATAATTTTAAATTTTAAGTTTCAAAGCATCTAGATCTAATAAAAATTCTTATACTTCAATCTTATGTGGGCCCCGGGGCCCCCACAACCCTAAATCCGACCTAACCCGTGTGCATCGAGGCGCGTCCGGGTCCCGAAATTCCGCCTGTTCAATTTATATGTTTGAGTCGTTCAAGACGGATGATCGCCAAAATACACGATTCTCGCACTGAACGCTGAAAGTGCTAAAGCCGGCCCTGCCCTCGAACCGTCCGATGCGCGTGTAACTGCAGCCGATTCGCGTCACACGAAACCGTGTGTCCGCTGTGCGCAGCGCGTCATAAACGTCGCATTGTAATCTAATACGACGTCGCGCCCACGGGCGTGTTTTTTTTTTCTCTCTTCTGATTTCAGACGGCGCGGAGCTTCCGGACTCCGAAATTTCTAGTCATTAGAACGCGGGCAGGTCAGAACCGTCATGTCGCCCGTGCACCGTTCGCGCACGGCACTGCAACGGCGAGGGCGCGGTGCACGGCGGTCGGGAACGCGTGCGAACCAGCGACCAGCGGCCGTGGCCGGTTAGACGCCTAACCTGACCCGCGTCCGCGCGTTACGTCCGTACGGGACCGGCCGGAGCAGACCGGGAACGTCGTGTGGCAGCTGCGATTGCGTCCCGCGCGAAGGCGAACCATCGAAAACACCGGGACCGGTCGACGCGGGGCTGATCGGAACCGAACGTTCAAACCCTCACCAACCACTCACCGACAGCTTCACACGCTAAACACGCACGCACAACATACGGCTTGTTTTTTTTTTTTTTTTCGTTTTTTGTCAAAATATGTCCGTGTAAATCGTTGTTTGATGTAATCAAACCGCGGTGTAACGAAAAACATCCATAAGTCACGAACTGCTTTTTCGAACATTGGACGTGACGTACGGTATTCGCGTCCGTCAAAACGAGTGTACGCGATGCACTCCGGACGATACGAACACTTACGAAGAAGAAGAGAAGAAACACATGCATTGTAATAGAAATGTGTACAAACGTTTAGAAAACAAATATATGATTTTCACCACATTATTCGAATTCTTTAAGTATAAATTTTTTGTTAAGAATAAGCACTTTGTTTGTTGTTCCTACGACGTATTGTTTAAGTATTAACATCTGTATTTTATTTTGTACATTACTTACATGTTATAACAGTGAGTTTCCAATTTTTTTTTTCTGCATTTGTATTTTGTATAGAGAGCAAGTAAAATTATTTTCTAATCTTTACTGTGGGAGAAACCTGGTAAGATTAAAGGTAGGTTAGCGGTATTTCAAATGTTGATACCGATATTCGGTATTTGTTCAACCGGCATCAACGGGCTTACTGAAAATCCGATATTCACGGTACCGTGTTTTCGGTTACCGGATCGCGGTGTATGAGTATTATTAAATACAGAAAATACCGGACACCAGTGATTACTGGCACATGGCCAAAATACCATCAGCTGTAATTAGAGGCAGGGAAGTCGTGAGGGGGTGGGAAATAGGGGCAGTTGCTCAGGGCCCCGCGCCTAAAATTATAATTAAGGCCTCGTGGTTCTGATTTAACTGAACTTTAAATATTTTATTAATATAAATTATAAGACCCAATGTTTATTTTGCCCAGTACCTCACAAACTCTAGCACCGTCAGTGATTTGAGGTAAGATGGAAAATAGTGTACCTTGAAAAATGTAAACGGTTTAAATTAACCAGTCTAGACCATTCTTGATAGACCAGTATTTTTAAATAAAACAATATGATACATCATATTGCGCATCCTTAGAATACAAACGACATAACTCGGAAATAGTAATTACTAAGAAAATTCAATTAAAGATTTTAAGAATTTTCAAAACCATCTGACAATATCATTTTTGGTGATATTTGGTTTTTTTTTTTTTTAATTAGTTGCCATTAATCATTGTTTTATATTTTCATAGGAGTTTAAGAAATTTCCTAATACTCAACATCACAAAAAAAATAAATCAACTTTAATAATAAATTATCTTAAAGAGAAAAACAAATAACAATATTTTATATTTTTATCATATTCTACTTTGAATTAATCTTGAAATAAGATAGAAAAAAAGAAATGAGCGCGAATAATAGATATTTATTCCGCGGTTTCAGCAGTGGTTCCAAATCATAATCGACATTTTTTGAGTCATACCATTAGTGTTCTAGGGGTACGATATGTAAAAACAATAAACGTAATATCGGGGAAAGTTGGAAAAGCAGTCTAAAAGAAAATTCTTGGGAATATAAATTTTCCCAGGAACATTTCCTACCGGGACATCTCTAAAACGGCGCCGTCATTGGCGATAGACAATCGATAAGATTTGATAAAACGTATTCGGCGGATCGCTTTGTGTTAGGTATATATATAAATAAATTATTGAAACACGTACGAGGAACACGTGATAATCTGTGCGGTGGATAACGATTTGAATAACAATTACTTGATAATATCACTGTGCTGTGTAGATGTCATTGGGAGCGAGGAAGTACATAGGTTGAACTCGAATAATTAATATTATAATACATACGGATAGCAGGGGTGCCATTTGGGGGGAGCAGGGTGTGCATTCGCACACCCTGATTTTTTCTCATTTTCAATTATTGGCTTAGGTGTCACTGATACATGGCCTTCATTTTCCAATCTTTAATGTTTCGCATGCGTCGTAGCTGATCAGTAATCACTGCTAATCATAAATGTTGGCTTGGTGGTGGAAAAAAATTGGCCTCTTTAATTGCTTGCACCCCCTTAAAAAAAACTAAAATGGCGCCCCTAGCGGATAGTATCAGAATAATCAGGATCACGATACACACGGTACGGAAACTAGAAGTTGTTCGAAATTTTGTTTTACATCAACGGGTGTATATATTTTCGAATAGGAACAATTGTAAAGCAATTTTCTACTTAGTTCCCGGAGTAGAGTTTTTTTTTAGTAAATTTCAATAAAATAACAAATTTGTCAAAGAGCTTTTCGAGTAAACTTTCCTTAGCTATTTATTATCTGTACATCGATGAAAATATTCAAGATTTTCGATCCAGTAGATATATATTTCTCGGGATCTTCGAAATGTGACGAAATTGATTATGTATTCACAGTTCACTTGACGGTTAGCATTTTTCTATTTTATCTTCAGGGCATCCTACATTTACATACCACTGTTGTATTATACAACACAGATCTTCACTTAAAACTGTTCATCAAACTTGATAATATTGTTCATCTAATATTATCATCTACTTAAATGTAAAAGAATAACTGAATTTAACACCGAACACAATAATAAGGGTACACTATGCAGCACCAGATAGATAATACTATAATTATATTTCTGATCGATGAATTTAATGATCTATATAACTTTGAGAATTATAAAATCAACAGCAGAGTCGTTTTGGAACAGGTAAACAATATACAAATGTTGAATAATAAAGAACAACTTCAACGTTACATTAATTTTATTTTTCAAGTCAAAATCGAAATAAATCACTTGCGTAACAGTAACAATTATAATATAATGTTTATAAATAATACCGTCTAAAATACTTTTGAAAATAAAATAATAATAATAATAATAATAATAAACATAATCATAAAAAGAACAAACACAAAGGGCTTTTCTAAGGCTTTTCATAACTGGTACGCGCAGTAATAATTACAAACATCTGATCGCCCACAACTGCTTATAAAATTATAATATACAATGCTATCAATAAAAAAAAAAAAAAAAAAAAAAACAAAACATTTATCTACAATGAAAAATAACGATATTAGATTAGTTTTATGAGTTATCATTATTTATCAAATATAATTTACGATGCATTTCTAAATATAATCTTTATATTTGTTTAATTCACATCCTCACTCAAATGCTTTAATAATTGCTTTCCACTTAATCACTACAGAATTGACTTTGCTAGAGGTACAGTATAATAATTATAGTCATTATAACATCTATTTTCCTTAAATTAAAATAGTTTTTTTTTACGACGCTCTAGCATATTTTTTTAGTTAATACTACATTAGGCCAATGCAAGACTTATCACAATTATATTATTAATATGTATATAATTTATATTTTGACGTTTTTTTTTTAATTTTTTAATACATGTAGTAATATAAATTTTTTAATAATCTAAGGACTACAGCGCCCAGCTACCAAATCAGTGTTGCCACAACATAATAATAATATAACACAAAACAAAAATTAAGAAATTCAGACAAAAGTGGGACAGGAAAATTGAGTTTTTGTGATTGTCTAATGGTAGATAAATAGGGGTGGAATGATTATTTTTTATTAAAGAAGATTTATTTTATAGGTTTGTAAAGTGCTTATGCGTTCCATGACTAGTGGTCCCTGGATATAAGACAGAATTATTTTTTATATTAAATATTACAAAATATATTTTTAAAAAACATACAGTGCTGCCGCATGATTGTTTCAAGGGTTTGGATTTAGACTGGCAACACCAATGACACTTTAGCTCACTGAGACTAGACAATTACTAATATTACAATATAATAATACATTTTCATTACACATGTATATAAAAAAAAAAAAACTAAGTAACTACACTTCCATATAATATTGAGCTAAAATGTGGTGTAAATTCTCTTTCTAACTATATTTTTTAAAATGTAATATTAGAGACGTATATACAAACAGGTACAATAGAGGTGGGGAACAGATGAGGGATTTTTGGTGCGGTTGAAGATGAAATAAATTATTTGTTATTGTTACGAAAACTTAACAAAAAAATAATTTAGCACCTAGAAAAAAAAAATGTGTATGTGAAAATTGTGTTCGTAAATGGTTTATATTTGGTTTAAAGGAACGCCCAGCATTCAAGGATTTTGACAACGAAATCTTGTTCATTGACTAAAGGTTCGTTGCCGTAGGTGTTACATGCTTCAGTGCGGCCTTGGTTCAAGTCACCATCGAGCCATAAGCCAAATTTGCCACTAAAAATATAAATACAATTTTAATAACCTAATTGATAAATGCTACGTTTACTAGATAAATTTAAAAAAGCAATAAATCGAAGTAAGTCGTAATTTTATACGGGAATATATTTAGTCTGGTAAGAAAAAAACGGGATAATGTCAAAAAGGGGTTCAAGTAAATGTGGGTTTCAAACTTGTGTTGCGCAATATGTTCATCGTAGTAATCAATAATTGCAATTTAATATGCACTTACTCTCCTGCTCCGATCGATAAACTCTCATTGTTGCCTTTTATGAAGTACATGTTATCGCCAGTCCAGTTGTACACCTGAAAGTCGGGACAAAACGTAAACAACAGAGATTCGCCGGTACCGTAAAAATGATCGCTCATCTTCAAGGCGCACGATGTTAACGCACCGAATACCTGAAACGGATTAACGATTACAATTGAGCATATCAAAGTCAATAGTCAATCATAATAAAATCAAAAACGAAGTTGGCCAGACAACATTTGCATACTCACATTATTCTGTGTATCTTGAATGACTAGAAGAATGGGACTTTCGACTTTGCTCATCTTGCGGTACATAGAGTTCAGTGAGAAACCGTGCTGCAGGGTGCTGAAAATCAGGGTCCACATGTATCCTGCAATGAAATATAAAACGTTAATATACATGGGCGTTCACGATTTATATAAACAAATCAATATCGTATATATTTGGGCAGGCCTATTTAGTTCAGTGCAGTTAGGGGCATACAGATGAAATTTGACCTAGCATACGAGAAATACATTTTTGGATTTTCTATCTATAAAAGTCCAAATATATTTTCATGGTACAATGAAATGAACACATCACCATGGCTTATGATACATATCTGATGTATTTTAAGAGGACATCGTCGCATCATTCGTAATTAAATTGTCAAAAACTGTTTTATGCGAGATAACTTTTCTAGCACTTTAATCATATTAGTTTCTAAAATTTTACATCGTATAAGGAACAACTTTATCCGTGTCATAACGTTTGTGTAATGTACAATATAAATAATTGCCCAGCGCCTCCCCAAATAATTGCTTGCACATCCCTAGTGAGGCGCGACTCACTGTTTGGAAACCACGGTTCTAGAATATAGACGATATTTTTATATTAGTTGCACCGTGATAGATATGCAAACGGCTATATAATTATTATAATTCAGCAAGTACGAAGTAGTTAAATTGTTATGTTGCTGAGTTATATACTACATACACAAATATTAAATAATGCTAAGTTATTTTTATTGCTAGCCCTAAATTTATAAAAAAACATTTATTGTTGTAAAAAAAAAAAAAAAAAAAATAGCAGTAATTATATCCGTATATTTATTATTAATGAAATTCCTTAAAAATGAACTTGTTGCAGGATAAAAAAATAAAGCCTAACCAGTCCAATTACAATTGGACATGCTAAGGTCTAGTCGGCCTACCCTGTAAACAAGCTACTGAATTACACATATCATTAAGTAAAAATTAAAGATTAAATTGTATTATCCATAAAGATGATATTTCATTTTATAGCCGTGACACGATTCAACACTGCATAAAAGTTTCATTTAGGAAGTATGTACGCTGCTGCTTTGACGACCAGAACTCTTGTCACACGAGTTGTTATTGTTATTATTATTATTATTATTATTATTTTTTTTTTATCAAAGAGCTACAATTAAAGCGAACCAACGGATCCACAAAGAACAGGAAACTGTCCATTACTAACGACCGTCTGCTGATGGTACATAACAATAATTACGTCACAATTGGATCTTATTAAAAAAAGGAGAAACGTGTACATACATTTTTATTTTTTAATAATCTATCTCTATTGAGTACACAACTATATGTATTCTGGCATACACATCATATAGCCAACCCTACTAAGTTTGATAATAACACCTTGCACGCTTATTATAACTCACGGTTTGTCGTTTGTTTACTCCGTTTAATTGTTTTGCGCAGTGTGTAAACTTTAACGCAGTACGTTTATATGTTATAAATATATATATAACATACATCATATGACACTATAATAACTTTTGATAAACAGAAAAGTAATGCCAATACAACAATATATAGATACGCTACATAAACGGTGATTATACTATATATTATTGAATCTGTACTAAATACAAATTAATCAAATACAAAATGTTAGTGTAAACATATTATAAATAATTAAAATTAACTAGATTATACAAAAACAAAATTAAATCTGTATGGAAAAAAATATATCAGAAATTTAAAAATTAAATTGTAATTTTTGTTTGTCTTTCTCAAATAATCAGAAAACATAAAATACTTAAATACATTTTAAATTATTGAAATTATTAAATTAAATGAAAGAAACTTAAAAATGTGGCAAGTATTCCGCAGCTAAATTATACCTACTACATTGAAATATAGTAAAATTCTTTCAATGTCATTATTAGCAATATATTAGTTATATACATTGAAACTGAGGTAAACTCAATGTGTATGCATTCATAGATAACATTAAGTATAATTGGTTTTTGTAACAATATATATTTTACACTTTTTATACTTACAAATATTTACTATAAAAATTAATCTAATAGTGAATCATGTTGCACCAACAATATAATACATGCTGATGACTATAATGTAATAGTACTTTTTTAGAGTGTTATAATGAATATTAATAAAATTAATTTGTTTAACAATGCATTTATATTATGGATCAAATATTAAAGAATAGTAGGATACGAAAATATGTTTATTCATAATGTTTTATATTAAATTTAAGACTATATAAACTTTCAAAAGATAAATAAGAAAATATTCTTTTTATTTTTAATATGATAATAAAAACAACAACTACATTTTGGAAAACATCCAAAAAGCAACAGATGTGTTCATAATAAATACATTTGAATGTTGATAAACTAAGATTTAAATAGATTGTTGAAAGGACCGTAAATTGTATTATAAAAATAAGCAAACCATAATTATTATCAGATTGTATATATAGTATAATTTATTAGCTATGAGTAGTTAAATTATAAATTAAAAGGTTTAAATATCCGATAACAATTCTGAATTTAAATGAAAAAACAAGATTAAAATATAATTCAATTAATTCTATGAAAATAAAATGCATACCTATACAGTATACCATGTGCAGTGGTGTAACTAGGAATTTTTACGCCCGGCGAAAATGTTAAAATTACTCCCTATCATAGACCAATAATCAAATACTCTTCTTGAGAATTGTTTTCTAATAATTAATATAAAATCATACTTATTGAGTTTTAACCTAATATTAGTATTTAACAAAGTTAAACATATAAATTAGTTGTTAATAATTACAAAAATTATACGCTATAAAATGTTACATCTGGGGATGAATCCCCGTCTTTCACCCACTAGTTCTACCCCTGAACATGTGGTATATACAATTTATTTACATAATTTAAGTAATTTAATACTTGTGCAAATTTATTTTTAGGAATAATTGCTAAATACCGACAATGTTTAATAAAATATAAAAAGTTAATAATTAAAATAACATATTAAGGAGTTCGAGATCTGTTAATAACTAGAGTAAATACTTTATTTAACAGTAAATGGTGTGCTAAATAACTATTAATTTAAGGTAAATATACAGCAGATTAATGTCTTGACTGATGGAAATAAGGAAATAATAAATTATTAGCATTAAGATTATGGATAATTAAAAATAAATAGACCAATAATGAAGTGTTTAAAATAATATCACCATTAACAATAATTGTTTACGGGATTTATATTTGGTTTTAATTTCAAGTTATTCAACTAAAGCCATATTCTATTTATCATTATAAACGATAATGGTTTGCCATTGGTAAAATATAACAAATGCAACAATAAAATCTAGATTAGTTTAGATAAACCATAACCATTGTTTTTTCAATTTCTCATGAAATCTACTTTATTTCAAAATACACTTTTTGGTAGAGCTGACTAAGCACTTCTAAACATTGAGTTCTTCTAGTTATCAAACAATTGCATTATACTATCTGCATAATTATTTGAATGGAAAATGGAAAACAAATTACCTTCAGCTCTGGCCGGTAAATGTCTACTCAACTGTTTTCTGTGTTCTTCGGTCAAAATCTCAGTAATGCCATGCAAGTCGGGAATATAAGAATCAAAATCTAATGAATTTACGCTATTTGCGTAGAAGGCTCGGCGAAGTTCATCACTCATAGACAGCACCTAAAAATTTAAAAAATCACAAGTTAGAATAGGCAATTCCAGGCATCATCTTACTTAATTACTAAATTGGAGTAATGCTGCATTTTTAGTTTATGGACAAATTATTAATAACACAATTAGTGCAATTACTAGGTAATAATTATAATAGTGCTTCATCATAATACAAGTACATTCTAGACATGCTATTAACCTACGGAACCTACGTCGCACTGCCGAAGAGCTGCAATTGCCACATAATAGTAATATCGATACTAGTTTTTGATTGGATAAAAAGTAAAAAATATGTTGGCATGCGTTTAAAAAAAATGGAAATATATTTTTTCACTACTTTGCCGAACAAAATTTTGTTTACAAATGTGTAGTATATATAATTCAAGTGCGTAAATAAGTATATAACAATAATACATTTTGTATAATTATATTTCCGTTCTAGGTAAAATATATAGATAAGTCATACAATATACAACTAATAAACACCATAAAAAATGAATTTTAATAATTATTTATAGGATAACCAGAAGTATAAGGCAAGCAAAAATTAAATATATATAGTGTAAATCGTGTTAAAAATTAGTTAATTTTATCCTTATTAATTTTTTATGTCATTTAATTTTTTTAATATTCATGAATGTTCGAATAAAAACTTAAATAAAAATACAGTACTTAATAGAAAATAAAATCATGCAGACCTATAAGTTAAGTATTTCATATAATATACTCAAAACTTTACACGAGAATTACCTATCTAAAGATCTTTACGTTCTATAGATTATTTTATTCTGTAGTGCGAAACACGGTGAATCATCAAAACAAAAATGTAAATACTTAAATATATATTTTAATAATTTTTTTTTTTAGACAAATAAGTATAACAAGAGTAATTCATTTTAGTTTAGTATTAGTTTAGTATTTAAAATCACAGATTTTTCTATATATTATTTAAAACGTCCATTAGTAACACTACATTTTTATTAAAATAAATAGTTTATAACCTTGAACGATCATCAAATATAACTACTTAAATTATTTATTTGAAATAGGTACTTCATAACTATTTTGTGTTACTGTTAGTACTAAAGTAGTTTATGAAAAATAAGTTTATTATAAATTGTTTGATTAAATTGCTATGTACAAAATTATAATTAAATTGTATCATTATTTTAATTATTTGTTTACTAATTCGTATACAACATTTTATTTGTATTAATATTAAGTCTAATGGTTTGTTTAATGATGATTATATTTCAACTTATTTTCCAGTCCGTTTAACCTTGAAAGAGTATTAGTGAATCATTATTATTTTAACAATACATCTATGAATACATTATCCATTATCTATGGATGAAAATAATATATTTAAGTTATTTTTTATTTAAATATTAAAACATTTACACTTACAGAATAAGTAAATATTAAATTTTTGAATTAATTACTTAATTTTCATAAATCTTTCATGTTGAATTACGACAAATTCTCTAAACTGTTATTAATATAGCATGATCATAAACTAAACTATTACTAATTGTATATAATTTAACTACTATATAACTTTAACTACTATTAGCAACTAAAAATAATTTTCTTGAAATAAATCGAATCAAAATACCCATTTGGACTATCATCAGACATTAACGTAAAATATTTTATTTTAAAATTGATTTGATCAAAATACATTTTAAATTAATAATAGCCATTCATCAAAAGGTTAAACCGAATAATATACATTACATATTATTATTATCATACTATCCAAGAATTTTTTAAATTTTCTAATAAACACGAAATGAAAAATTAATACAGTCTACGATACGAGAATAGAAATACTATTTTTGAATAATGGCTATAATTCATACAATTTATTGCAGTAATACACGCAGTTTGATGCATGTAATATGATAATTTAACATATAAAAGTGAAAACCAATTAATAAAAGTTAAAACAATTATGTGTGGAAATAGGTGTTTTTTATAACGCACTCAAATATTTCATAGATCCGAAAATAAGAAAAACTATTTAATATATTTTTTAAATATTTATTTATATTAATGATTACGATGATATAAAACTATTCAAATATTATTATTTATTTTCTAAAATAAAAGTAATTGATAATCATTATAAACCAGGAATCTAATATTTGCTAACGGATGTTCTTCGAATGGTAGCTAGTGTCTATTAGATAATATCAAATTAATGTACCAAAACGATAAATAGAAATCAGATTAATTTTGAATAATGATTTTACGAAATAAATCATTGATACTAAATAAGTTTTATAGATTAAATTATAAATTCTGAAATTTCATAATATTTTGGTAAAAACATGAGAATTCAAATTAAATCATGATTGTTGGGTCAAAAAGCCTACATTATAAAGTATAATTAGAATAAAATCAAAAAAGCTTTGTACTCTTGATGAAATTCTCTTTCAAGTCTTAAACAATATATTTATCCCAAAGTTTGGAGATAATATGAGTATAACAATAACAATAACAAATATTATTTAGACTTAAAAATAATATATCTCATAAATATACAGTACTAAACAAAGTATTAACAGATTAAAATCATTATTAAATATTGTTTAAACGAAAATATATTTTTTATGAAAATAGGTTTCAGATAATATATTTAACGTAATAATTATTAATAATTTCATTATAAACTCATTAATTTGTTAGTTTAAGATCGACTATCTATCCATTCGTTTTTCATAAGTAATTTAAATTTTACGTAGTAAGTACTTTATTTTATACGGTCAATAACTAGTACACGTCAGATGATAAAATTATAACTCATAATAAAAAATAATATTTAGTAAAATGATGTTTTTTTTATATTTAATCAAATATAAATTTAAATATTAAGCTAATAGTTTTATCAATTTACTTTGCGTTTATTTAAAAATTGTTGGGCTTTTCTCACAAAAACTTTAGTTGACGTCAATTTTGTTTTTGACGACTTCCCAAAACTAGTCATGTCCTTTAATGTTGAAGTAAAAATTTAATCGTCTTATAAAACATACCGCACCACATTGAAAACACTATTAAACTCAAATTAAAATTTGTATATGAGATATTAATAATAATACATTTATGAATAAATCAAACAAAAATAATCGCTTCAAATTATTGATTTTATTGATAACATAAAAATCATAACATTTAAAACAAGTATAAAACGCTATACGACGCGATTACGTTTAACTAGTTAACTAATTGATTTTATTAAAAACATAAAATCAAAACATTTAAAACAAGAATAAAACGCTATACGACGCGATTACGTTTAACTAGTAACTACTGATTGGGAAATTTACATGCGCTAGTCACCGTGGCTGCAGCTGATCGTGAGCCAGTCAATTTTAGAAAGTTCCCTTCTACCAACCTCTATTGTTTGTATGTCTTACTCATCATATCTTTTAATATTAATAAAACGTTTTTATTAAGCTTCATAAACCAATTAGGCTTTTATTTTTTAGCTAATAAAACATTTATATATAAAAATAATTATTTTTTCGTCTCATAAATTAGATAGTATGAGTTTGGTTAAATACAAAATTTAAAAATAATACTATATATATATATTAATAATTATAAAGTATAAGTTTCATAAACATTAAGTAAACAATAATACAACTATATTAATTTAAGAAAAATAAATAATTTTATAATATTTACAGTCAGTAGCATACATTCAATCTTGATCAGGGGGAGAGTGTTAACAAAAATAATCGTTATCTTTTTTTTTTGGTACATAGATAAATAACTGATATAAATAGATATTATTTTATACAACTTTTTTAACAATTTACAGTTTACTTTTACATTACAGTAATTTAGTAATTATTGGAATATAAAAATAGCATAGCTAACAACTTTTCAAACACCTATCAATATAATTATTTGATTATTATAATATTTGTATAGTTGTATATTTTAATTTCAAAGCATAACATTGAAACTACGAATATATTACACGTCATTAATAATATCACAATTTTTTTTTTTGGCCCTGGGGGGGTTTTGAATCAGGACCCCCCATATGTACGCTACTGTATACAGTTGATTTTAAATGTCTTAGAAGTATATTGGTTAAACTGTAATAATGGTTGTCAAAAATTTTTATATTTCTTTATTTTATTTTTTTGTAATTAATTGTAATTCTGAGCCAAAAGTTTTATACCTTCTAATACAACATATGAAATTAATAAATGTACCTTCTAATTCATGTTTAAGACCCAATACATTGTTTTAATTACATACTGTATTTTTAAAAAACAAGTAAAAAGAGAAAATAAATAAAAATTGATATCAAGTAGCAATCGTTTTTAACAACATTTAAGGTATGAGTTACTCATTGTCAGTGTAACAATATGATATCTACTTTAGAAAGTGTATGCCTACAAAATTCCTAAGAATTAAAGAAAACTTTCATAGAAATAATATAATAAAACTGATTTTAATTAGTTTCTTGAGATTCAAAAAATAATTCAATTTTTGAACTTCAATAACATAAAACAATAGTTTTCAAATGCTTTTAATGACAAAGACCTATGAAATCTTTAGAAAATAAAATTAATAAAGTAATAACATTCTTATAGAAAAAATGTATGATTATTGAATCTTTTTTTTTAGAATGTTCAAGGTTACAGAACGGCTTACAAAAAAAATAATTTTTAAAAGTACAAAATCTGTTATACAGTTTTAATATAAGTTTTATTATGTAAAAGAATTTATTATAATGAAATTAATGGTTGTACCATATTGGTCAAATCATTTCAAAAACCATAATAATATAGAGAAATAATACTAGCTCAACTAAAATTAATTTGGAAAACAATAAATATTGATTAAATATTGCTAGTTGATAAACATCTATCCAAATGATTTAAACAATGAAAGCAATGAATTTGCCTATATTAAGCACTAAACTATGATAAAGCCTTAATCTAATTATCTTGAATATTTTTAAACTAAAAAATACATTAAAGCTTAAATTTAAAAGCACCAAACATAAGAAGTAATCTAAAAATATAATAATTTTTAAATTATGTGCTAAATATTAATGGTGCAAAATTGCCATTAATGGCTTGACACACAATTCAGTCTTGTGAAATAATATGCTTGCTAAAAATCATAGTTAATGCAATGATTTAAAATGGTCAGTTTTCTAAAGATAAATTTAGGGAAATCGTCCATTTACATTATCACTATATCAGACTAAATAGCAAAAGATTTTTGAATTGGTCTCTGTTAATAATTAACAGTGTACCTCATTGTTTGCTTGCGAATCTGACGATCCGAATTGATCGGCCTGAGTCTTCAGCATTGAGTACAATTTTGAATATGGCGCTTTTAACACCTTTTAGACAAATATCAAGTTAAAATAGGGGATACTATACTATTTGATTTGACTTCATACATAAGTAAATAAAAGGTACATAAATCTAAGAATTATTAATCATATTATATTGTCTATATTGTATTATGTGTTAAATTAAAAAAAATATTGGAAAATTAAATATAAAAATTTACCTCCCAAGATTCTCGTGTAAGATCACCTGCTTCACTTTCATGTCTATCTAGCTTTTTATCACTATTATCTCCAGGTGGTGTTTCAGCTTCTTCCCATAATTCTGTATCAGATTCAACTAACTCAAATCCACGGCAAGCTACAATTTCTTCATCAAGGTCACCATACAAGTGAGGGACCCATAACATTAGAAAACGATATAAGTCGTCCACCCTAAAATAGTTTTTCAATATTAAAATAAATTTTTTTAGTAACAATTATTTTCAGACTAAATTAATTAATATTTATGGCTGATGTTATCAGAGAATTTATAAACACATAGTTGTAATTTTTATATTTTACTAAAATATTAAAATTGGAAACTATTTATAATAACACTGATATGAATAAAAAAAATGGATGTAGTATCTGAATTTCATACTAGTCGATGTTTACTATAGGACTTTATACTACTGAAACAAAAAGATTTAATCATGCTAACAGATATTGTTATTAATATTTTCTACTGTACTTACTTTTTATTTTATTTATTTATTTCTAAAACTTCTACCAATTAAAAAGTAAGTTATGAATGATTTCTTTCCATCCCATAGGATAAAATATAATAAAAATAATTTTAAAATATATTTTTAAAAGTTAATTTAAAATGTGCATAATATAGATATAAATAATAGTTGTAAAGAAATAATAACATTTTTTTTCTTCTTTAATTACACCGAAAAATAATTTTAATTTAAAAAATAATATTAAAAACATAACTAAGACAAAATCTTCTGATGATAATTCTATGGCTTTATTAACTAATAATCATATACTTGTTTCACATTTACATAAATTAACATTACCTGTTTTTAGGAACACTAAACCAATACTCAGGCTTCATCTTTTTCTTGCCATATGACATAATTGGAGTTGACTTTGGTATTTTCTTGTCTTTTGGTTTACCCATTCGAAGTCTCAAATAAAGAGGAGGCGGTTCTTCAAATGTATGGACGGGTCTTGGTATTAATTCTATTTAACAGAATATTTTATTAATGCATATAATTAACTAAAAGATAATTTATAAAATAAATAACCCATACATACTTTCAAAAGACACAAATAATTCAGGCATGTCATCTACTGATACCATACTTCGATAGTCTAATTTTGGAGGTACAGTTTTTGAAGAGTTCTGACTATCTGAACGACTGTTTGAGTTACTGTGTTGTTGGCGTATAAACGTAGTGACTGATGAACGCCTTCAATAATAATTAAAATATCTTATTAATATAACAAGCTTGATAAAATATTTGATTTTGAACAAAATATATAATTCTTATAAATGCAATAATTAATTAATTAGCAAAGCTTAAAATAGGTAGCAAAAATAGTGTCTAAAATAATATTTTGACATAGGTATATAAATAAATATTACTATAATAAAATAAAGCAATTTTATAATAACCTAAAGTATATTTATGTTTAAATTAATTACATCAAAACTCATAATAAAGAATGATAAATATAGCTATTTAATAACTATAAAAGTGTACATAAGTAAAGATTAAAAATAATAATAATAATGCATTCAAATAATAAAAATAATTAATTTACTATAACTTGCATTAAAAAAAAAATAAATATAATATTCTACATTAAGTGATTATGGTGGCAGGATAAGGGGCACACATAACATCACCATGATATCAATGACAGATAAGACATTTAGGGGTACAGTGTGTGACCACTTACCCTACGCTGTTAATAATTGATGACGGCGAGAAGTTAGTGAGGCCTTCTCGTTTAGATGGGGTGGTTGAAGGCAGGGCGGGCGAACAGTCCTGAGGTGGCGGGAATTGGAATCGCCCACTCTCCTCGCTCGGTGTTTTCATTAGGAACAGACCCGAACCAAAATCAGTCACCATGTTTATAGGTGAGCTTGGCAATAATACAAAATTATCATCACATCCTCATACTACTACTATGTCCTCATACAATTCAAATTAACTTTTGTTCAATTTTTTCTCTTTATACATTTCTCATGAATATTAAATTTATTTCTAATGAAATTCAATTTTCTTAAAAATAAAGTAACTAGTATACAGCCTTTGGTATTTAAATTCTTAGTTTTGAACTTAAAATTATAAATTATAAATGTAAAAGTAAATAGAATTAATTTTCTCAAATACAATCAATTTTGGTGAAGCACTAGTTCTCATTGATCTTCTTTATAATTAATCAACAGTAACATTATTTCAAAGGATCTAATTTGATGAAAAGAAATACAATTTTGAAAGAAGGGAAAATTGTTAAATATTTAAATATTAATAATTTTAAAAAAGAAAATATTATAAATAATACAAACTACAAATGTAAGCCCAACTAATTGTATAACAGTTGGGTAATCTACATATCATTAAGTATATAATTATAGCAACAAAAATAATAATTTAATAGCTTCAAATCAATAATTCTTTCAAATTATCATTAATAATCAAATATTTAAATACAGTAATCAAATTAAAAGTTAATTTCCCAAAAATAAAACAAAATATATAAACACAAAAAGCTAATACTGATTTTAATCATAGTTCAAAAATTATTGTTTTATCTATTATCATTATGAATTCAAAATGAAATAGACAATTTGTATGGCTATCAAATATAAGAATATGTCCAATTAATTTAAATTTTGCATATGTTTTTAGAAATCTAAATTTTATTTAATCTTCATATTATATTTCCTAAAAATAATAATACAAACAATAACATAAGAAAACTATAGAAGCTTCTCCTACGGAGATGCTAATACAATAGTGTGTAGTAAAAATTTGTGTACACCCTAATACGCATTTTATTTACAAAAGTGCTTTGTTAAAAAAAATTATCATATGCTACTTTTGTTGTTTTTTATTATACATAAGATGCTTAAAATATTGATAAAGAAAAGTGATGTGTATAAAAATTTAAAATAATTTAGAAATATTCACCTTGAAAAAACTTTAGAGAACACACTGGATGAATGAGATAGATGAGATGATTCAGCAGAAGATGGAACTGATCCGTCTTTTTCACTATCTTTATCACCAGTGAATCCTTCCATCCAAGATAGAGGATAAGAAAGCCTTTTTAACATCTAAAATCATCATAATGTATTACTCTACATTAATATAATACAAAACAATAAAAATTATTTAGTCATTGTATTTACTTTATTTTTTTTTGTTTCCTGAGCCTGTTTATCAGATTGTTCATCAATTTTTTGAACTTCTGTAGTACTTGCAGTATCTTGTTCTTTAGAATCTTCTAAACTAAATGATACTGATGTAGTTTTCTTTTTACGTAGTTGAACCGTATCATTGAGATGATCAGATGAAAATGGTAAAACAGGCACTGGTGGAAGAAACTCAGATTCTGATAAAAGTATATCAGCATCTGAATAGACAGTTTTACGAGGTACTGATAACACAGGTGGGTCTCGAATATCAATTCCTGAATCATGACAAGACTGTTTAACTAGGTAACCACTTGATGTTTCAGAATCTTCAACAGCTTCTAAAATAATCAATAGAATTATTACAATGCAATTGAATAATACAAAAAATACATTTTAAAACATGTTGGAAGTTGGTACATTAATCAGAATTTCTTGAAAAATTATTAGACACTGTCATTAAAAATCATTTAAAAATACTAAATATCATAGATTTTTAATAACATTAATTATTATAAAAAGAAATATTCAAAATTGAATACTTATTTAATATTCAAGAAAAATATTGCAGATACTATATTATAAATAAAAAAGTATTTAATAACATACAAATAATACAAATTATTAATGAACTTACACTAACATTAACCAAATTTTCATAGAAAATAAATTCATTTAAATTCAAACATACCTTGTACTGCATGATGAGCTGGAGGTTCGTCATCAAGAGATCTAACTTTATTTGGCATTGCCCAATGTTGGTCAATCGAAGATTGCCTGCGCTGTTCCATATTACGTATACTACAAACAGCATCTTGTTCAGCTGACATTGAAGAAAGTGGTCTATCATCTTCATTGCTAATATTTTCTATAGCAGATTCTTTATCTGATCTTTTCTAAAAAAATAAAAATAAATTTGAATGCCAAATATTATTTTCAAATATTATTTATAATGTTTAACCAACCAATGCATCACTAGGTCTATTCATAGGACTTGGTGTAACTAGATCACGATCAAATGCTTTTGGAAATGCAGCTCCATCATTTCTCTGTGCATTGCATGAACAAATACTACCATCTTCTTCTTCGTCTTCAGTTGATGATCTGAATATATTATGAATATTTATGATATATATAATTTCAAATTATAATTAATGTAATTACCTAAGTTCTGGGAAAGTATCATCTTTAGCCAAGAGAGAATCGGTTCTACCTCCAGGAGATATCTGTAAATCTAATGTTGCACTGTCTAATGAGTCAGTCTGCATAGTAGTTAACATTGTTGAGGATTTATGTTCACTGTCTTCAATTGTTTCAGGCTTAGGAACCGGGGATAAATGATAAATTGCTGGTTTTGTAACATTCTCACTATCAGATCTATAATATTTTAAAAATTAAAACCAAAATTAAATGATAACGATTTGTGAACAATAAAAAACATACCCAGCAACTCTCATATGCGCTATATCATAATATATGGCAGCATTCACCACAAATTCCATAGGAGCTATGACACCGTAAGACTCGGGACCATGTTCAATAACCAACGGGTCAGAAACATTGGGATCAAACATAACCGCATTAGGAGTGACCAATAAAACACCACCCACAACACCCTTTAAAAAGATTACAATATTACATTTAACAAGTTTTAAATAGACAAAATTATCTTTAATTTCTTACTTGTCCATCAGTGATGTGTCTAACATTTATTTTAAGGAACCTTTCTACACCGCGCGAATGCGATCTGCTAGATGAAGGAGATACTGCAGAACCAATACGTTCTGGATGACCTGGCTTTGGAGATGATGGACGTAATGTATCCAGAATATCTAAATAGTATTATGTTTTAGTCAACTTTTCAAAATAAAAATAAATTGTCTTTAAAATATATTATCTTATAAATCATTAAAAATATTAGTTATTTTATACCAAAATATTTATAACCATTATGTTGTAATAGATTCTTTGGAGACATTACTACGCCTCTCATATTATTAAATCTAATAAAGCATGAATATTAACAATAATTTAAAAACTATAAACACTGCTCAATTTATTTTCTTTCCATAAACAAAAAAAATTATAAGAAATTAATTTTCTTATCATGAGAAAAATTGCACTAGTATCAAATCAAATATTTAAATAGTTTATGTTATACAACAGATAAGAGTTTTAGAACTAGTCACAATAAAACAACTATGTATGAACTAATTGTTCTTGAGAGCAGTACCACCAATAAGATAACACAAAAGTGAATGCTTCTTGTTTTTAATCATAGTTTCGTTTTCATATTACTATGTCAATGTGTTAACATATATTTACGTATAATTTAGAACGCCCTTTTATGTTAATGTTATTTACCAACTAGGTAGTACTATCACTTAAACTATAATTAAGTATACAAAATTATATTATTTCAATTATTAAGTCTCATAAGAAATGTTTTAAAGGTAAAATATTATTTCTTAAAGCTAATTTTCCACCAAATTCTAGACCAATTGAATATTAATTAAGTAATAATAATGTGAGTAATTTCTCAAACAAAACCATAATAGGTAAATTATTAAATGATTATTTTTGGGTAAATTTTATAGATATTATTAAAATAGATTTAATTTAAAATTAATGATTTTAATTACTAAAACTGTATTTAATTATAAATTGTAAAAATGATACAACATGTATGTTATAGTAATTTATACTGAATATTTATAACTAGTCATGTTTTAAAAAATATTTATATGTATGCATTTTTATGTAACAGTGAAAACATATTGTAATATATTTATTAGTCTAAAAACTCAGATAATAAATGGTTATACTTTCTATACAAATTTTATATTAAACTGATTCTTAAAAATGATAAAAATATAATTAAGTTAAAAATGTTTTAAGTATAAATTGTATAATAAAAGTATTTTAATTTATTAAATTTAGTATATATAGATTATTACCAGTCAATAAAACAATTTATGTTATTCAAAGGCTAGAAATTGATATTTATAAAAGATCTATGATGTATATGTAACTAACCAATTATTTGAGAAATGTATGTATAACTAAAATATGCCAGAAAAGTCAGTGTGTACCAGAAAAATATTAAAATATATATTTATTTTTACATTTTCATCAATAAAACTGTAACCGCGCCTTTCTAATTTGAATTAAATAATAAACATTAAATATAATGAATTATAATGAAAAAAAATTTAGTTAAAAACGCAAAAATAAAATAAAATTTAATATATAATTTAAGCATTATTAAATAAAGTTATATTTTTCCACCTTGATAAAACAGCATCTATGAAATACAATACTACTGTTTTTAAATGTGCAATGTCAACAATGGATAAAAAATATAATTAATTAAAACTTAATTTTTTTCTTTTTCAATTGTAAAAACTTTTTACCAAAATATTTTGCTGAATAGCATACAAATATAATAATTAGTTCAAGTACGATATTTAAATAGTAAAATATACTCATAGGAATTAGAAAATTTTGAGCCAGCAAAAATGTACAATATCATATTTAAACACTTTTATAAGTAACAATATGTATGGAATGAAATGTATTAACTGAAAAATATGATGAATTAAATAAAATTTGCAAATTCTTACAAATGAGAGTCATAGTTATAATTATATGATAATATTAGTTATTTCATACCATCTTCTCTCTTGTCAATGATATCTTTATTATCATTGCCAGTTGAAGGTCCAGATCCAGGTCTACTTTCTCCATCTACTGATGTGATACTGTTAGTTTCAGATAAATCTAAATTGCTAAGACCTCCCTAAAAATAAATTTTTTAAATGCCTACAAGTTTATTAATTATTAATTAAATTTTAAATATTACTTGAGACGCATCAGATTCGGACACTGATATTCGTTTTTTATCTGGCACACGAAGAGCCTGTCCAGGAAATAGTGTGCGTGAAGATAATCGGTTAAGTATAGCTAACTCGGATGGTGTCGTATCAAACCTAGCTGCTACTGAAGTCAATGTGTCCGACGCTTCAACCTAAAATATTTTAACTATGATTAAAACCAAACCAAGGTTATTTAAAATTAATTACAATACCTTATACGTGATGGTAGCAATAGGAGGAAGCTTAGGCATTTTTCTTTCGCTAAGCTGCTCTTTGCTGCCGCTCTGGCTTTCCCCATCCGTACCGGAACCTATAAAAAAAGCAAATAAATATTATAAATAAAACAATAAAAAGGATGCGATATAATATAAAAATACCATTTGAGTACTGAATGGATAATAGTTTGATAGATAACTGTTGTTAAAATTATGTGTATTATAATTTATAGAAGTAATAACTGAAAAGTATAAAAATTCTCTATAATATATTATAAATTAAAAGTGTCTTCATAAGTTCATAGTTATCATTTTAAACAATTTTAAAATTTTTTTACATCTATATAAAATTGTAAATTCATTAGAATGCAGAATAATAAAAACAATAGTTATAGAACTATCTCAAACTGAATATGAGGTTGTTATTAGGTCAACAATCATGCATTATTATGTTCTACCTGTATTGTTAATAGTTATAAATGATGTCAAAGAGTTCATTAAGCATAAACAATTACCACAATCGTATTCTTCAGTTGTTAGTTATAAACAATTTTTGATTAAATATTTTTAATTGATAAATTATTATAAAAAAAATAAAGATGGTGTTACTAAAAATATGATTTTTTTATTTACTTTAAACATCCACTAGTTTATACATAATACATAATTCAGTGAAATTATTATACAAGTAGATTATTAATAAATATCTTAAATATAACTTATTTATCAATAATCTACTATTAATAATAATCTATAATTATTTTTATATTAATATTAAAAACAAACATTAAAAATTAAAATCTATAAACTATATTAAATCCTTGTAAAAAATACAAATATATTTATTATAAACATTAAAATTATTGTTTTTAAGACTATATATGATCAAAAAAGTATAATCAGTGGCACAACAGGATTGGTTTTTGGGAATGGGGGGTACGTGTGAATTTGGAAAAAATAAGCATTTTCTGCAGGTGTTTGGTAGGGATAAGGAAGTAGATTAAGTTAAGTTTATGAGCAAAATATTTAAATTATAAATTAAACTGTTTAATTTCTATTTCAAATTGTGATACCACAAGTTGCACAGAACATTACAAAATGTTCCATATTGTCATGTTATTATTCTTATCAATTATAATACAAATAATATTCATATTTCATATCAATAAGCCATTTCACGTCTTCAAGTTAAACCATTTTTTTTCTTCCATAGAATTTGTAAAAACAGCAGAAAAATTTCGTGGGGGGGTCACAACTCCTAAATTCCATCCCTAGTTGCGCCACTGAGTATAATAATGTTTAAAATGCATAATACACAGTTCATATTTGTTTGTGCCACCTATGTTAGTAAAATCATTAAGTATATCAATAAATATAAATATTGGCATAAGAAATAATTTTAAAAATTATGAAAAATTAATTATCATAGGTACATGCAAAACACTAACATTCATGCAATAAGCTTTTTTACAAATAAAACTCACCTCGCTCAAAATTTATAATTATAATTTGTTGGAAGTCAAATGTAACCATAAAAAAAAATTGATTTCAATTAATTAAATTAGTTTATATCCTGTTTTGTTTTTTCTATGTTTTTAAAAATACACGTAAAACCAATAAATTATCATTAAATATACATATTTATATAGACAGTAAGGGTTATTATAGCAAGAGAATTATCAAAAAAGGTAAAAAAAAAAAAAGTTAAAAACTAGAATTAAAATCACAGCATAAATATAATCATAAATGAATAAAAACTTTAAACAATATATAAATAATACTTTTTTGTCAAACTTTTTTTTTTAAAATTTAATGTTGTTGTTATTTATGCATAGTATAATACAATAAAACATGGAGATTTTTAAACAAGGTGAGCACTAGACTTAACAACAGTATTATATTAGTATAATACTACCTTCCATATCAAAATATAATTTTATGTAGTTTAAAAATGTATAAATATTCAACTAATAACAGTAATTTTTAATTTATTATTAACTGGTTTAACTAATAAACAAACAAATAATTTTAATCAACATAATGCCATTATAAAAATTATACAAATGTTGGAGCCCTGGGGATTCACCTTCATTTTAACTCCAATTCCTCCACAAATTTAACTGTATATAAATATTAATCCTCAAAATTAAATTCAATATAAATAGAGAACATCATCAATATAAAATGTTTATTTTATAAATAATAAAACAACTATAAGCTAATATATTTTAGTTATATTAATAATTAAGAATTACTAGATACATAATGACTTAATGCACACTAAATAAAAAGTTTAAAGAAAGTAACCAAAATTTTTATTATTCACAACTGATTTTTTAATAATATGAAAATCAACTTAAGGTAAATTATTAGGATCTAGATAATTGTATACTCAGTTACTCTTATTATTTCCAGATGATTAAATTTTAAAATAAATGTAAATTATATTTACTATTTTTTATTGAATTTTATTATCAAATTGAGACAAAAATAAAAACTACAGTTAATTTAAAAATCTAAGACCTAAACTCTAAGGCTGACCGCACACTGGTAAAGCAAAATTGACTGAAGGAATTGAAGTCATGTTTAGTCATTTTGATTTTAGTCAAAATAAAGCATTATGATCGCACACTAGATAAAACATAGTTAGTCAAATCAAAGTAAAACCAGTCATCATAACCTGACGAGGAGGACGTTGCTATTCTTATTTTATGGTTTCTTTTAAAAGAAATTGAATAGGAAGAAGATAAATTTTGTTTTTGTAATCATAAAGAGACTGACATTCTTGGACTATCAATATTAAATTCACGAGGTTAATTTTATAAACCTATTGAATAAAATAAATAATATAAATATAAATTATACACATAATATGGTACCTTCTACTTATTTACTTAATTTTTAAAAATTTTCAAGTGATATGTATAGTATATAGTATATGTCAAAATTATGTAAATGTATAAATATAATATAATTATCTTTGAATTGTAGACAATTTAGCATAAATAATTGTTGGCATCATTTTGATATAACTATCCAGTAACTGCTTGATTATAACTTATCAAAATAACGAACTTTCTATTTCAATAAAGCAATATTAGTTATGACTAAGTCAAAAATGTTTGGTTTTGACTGCGCTTTATCAGTGTACGTGTTTTCCATAAAATATAAATGTTTTATTTTTCATGAGTCACAATAAAGCGCTTTAAAGTAGTTTTGCTTTACCAGTGTGCGTTAAACCTAAGCTATGACTAAAACTAATTTCTTAATTCTTGAAGTTCAAAATATTACTAAACACAAAGTGTGTTACATTTCATGTAAAACAGATGACACCAAGAATCATATAAAAATTACTAATAAAGTGCGCTAATATTATTAACACATTATCTTTACTATAGGTACAGAAATAATATGGTTAGAATAATTTACAATATTAACAGAAAATTAAATAACTAATAGCTCATTGATCAAGCAAGGATTAAATAAATTGTACACAATTTTAAAACCATTGAATTCAGAATCTAGGTACATATTTATACATATTTATCTTATACAATTAAACCACATTAAAAATATTTGAGTCATTCAGCCCATTAAAAAAATTAAATATTTCCAATTATATAAATTTAATTATATAAAAAAAACAGACAGCACAAATAAATAAAATGAAAATCTAACCTGCAAGCGGTCGGTAATGGACACAATATTCATTACCACAGCAACTCTTAAATATTGTCACCGACATTGGAGTGTAAAAATTTTCAATACTGATTGTACTAGTGGATTCCATTATCATTATTTCTGGAGTTTTTTACTAGGTGTTTATAGAACATTGTGTTGACTTTTAGACATATATATATATATATATACATATATACATATATATGTATATATATGTCTAAAAGTCATATATATATATATGTCTGAACTGTGTTGGCAAAAAGCAGTATTATTTAATTACGAAAACACACTACATAGAGGATGCCTATAGAAGGAAAGCGAAGAAAAAATACATGAAAAAAATAATAAATAACAAAGTAAAATGCTCAAGAATGTTTTTAAATATATAAATGTGATAAACAATGCGAGCAATTAATTTTTGTAAAAATGAAAACACAAGGGCTTTTGAGTAGATCAACTCACTTACTTTTTAAATGAGTAACATAGTACTTATTTTACGCGCCAACTGCGTCCATTTACATTTTATAAGAATGTGAACGCAACGAGCAACACACAGACACTGACAAATACACTTGTAAAATTGCACACGACGAGTGGACGATCAAGTTTTATCAGATAGAAACCGATTAAAAAAATTCAAGAACTTCCAAAACAGTTGAGCAGGAATACCTATCGCGGTGTCGCCTACATTGAACGTTGTTGTGATTACGACGATCGATCATTGAGCGTGTGTATGTGTGCACACTGATAACAAGCGACCGAAAACATATGATAAAGAATTGCCTCGGAGGTGTGTTCACCGTGATAATAAAGGAGCTGATAATGGCCACGGAAAATTACACAAAGATACCGCAATATTAGTAACAATAAAACTAAAAAACCAGATTTAAGAGTAGCAGTTTCCAACATAAAACCTAATATGGAAATTATAGTTTCAAAAACTCAAGCACAAGTATCTCATTGATAAAAAAATTGTTAAAATATTATTCATTTATTTTTTACATTTTTTTATTTATTTAAGTATACGTATTCAAAAAATTTCCATATTCTAATATTAATTATTCGTAGCGGTCGCATTAAAAAAAAAGTAAAAATTAGGGGTCGCGATTCGAAAAATGTTGAAAAACACTGCTCTAGAGTATAATATAAGCCTCGAGAAAATGTTTAAATTTTTGAATTAAATAGCACCGAATTATTTTTTTATAAATTATGCCTACACTTAAACGATACAATCATGTGATTCTAAATAATATACAAATTAAAAAGTATTTTTTTAACATATTTTCGTAGCGGAAATAACGTACATACGCGAAGTCGGTATGTGATCTTAAACGAAAAACTTAATTTTCCTTTTGCCAGCTTAATTTTCCTTTTGCCAGGACCAAGATACACGTTTTGCTGGAGGCTAGTTACG